GCAAAATTAATAGAAAAATATCGGATAGTGCTTATTTCGACGGATAACTCAAAACTGAGATATTATTGCGTCGAAGAAAAATATTATATACCGTGAAATGATGAAAAATATTAGCTTTCGCTAACCCAGAATAAAAAGAATCCAAAAGATGGAGTTTATTCAGAAGACAACGTCATGGCTTTTTAGATGTTGGGATGTTCTTTGAATAATCTTATCTTTAAAGCTCTTCTTTGTTTATCATATAACTGAAGACAAAAAAACCAGTAAAATTGAAGATAGCCGAAATTTTGATAACAGATTATGAAATAACTATTGGGAATTTTGATGAAAGGCTATCCATTTTGAAAGTTTTACATCAAGGGCATCTTTGTATTGAAATATGAGGAAAAACAATTTTTTTTTCAAAATTTGGGAAAAAACATGGTCTTTTTGGAAAAAATATGAATTTTTTTAAAAATTTAAAAAAGTGGTATTTTGACGGAAAATTAATAGAAAAATATCGGATAGTGCTTATTTCGACGTATATCTCAAAACTGAGACATTATTGCGTCGAGGAAAAATATTATATCCCGTGAAAAAATAAAAAATTTTAATTTTCGCTAGCCCATAGTAAAAACAATCCAAATGGTGGAGTTTATTTTATAAGAAGACGTCATGGTCTTTTTGATGTTGGGATTTTGTTTGAATAATCATATTTTTAAAGCTCTTCTTTGTTTACAGTTTAACTGAAGACAAATAAAAAACAATAAAATCGAAGATAGCCGAAATTTTCATAACTATTGGGCTTGTAGTTTGCTACAATACCGTTGGTATTTTTCCAAAATTTGGTGAAATATTTTATTTTGGTAGTGATGGACTAGAAAGAAGCACTCGGTGTTTGCTTTTTCAAATGGAACTCTTCACCAATATTTAAGCCTTGATTTGCTGTGAAATGACCGAATATCTGCGATGTTACTATACTTCTCAAGAACCTGAAAAATGCCCCCAGTGGCACAGCGGTATGTCTGTGGACTTAAAAAGCTACAATTCGGGTTTCGATACCCGTGGTGGTCAGAGCCCATTATGTAGCTTTGTGTTAAATAACAAACTTAAGAGGAAATTTCAAGAAATTTTCCTAAATGTTTTAGATTATTACCGATATATTTTCTAAATTTAACCAGCTTTACCTTTGTATTCATTCTGAATAATCGAAATTTGTTTCGTATTTTATCTTTCGAAGTGATATAATATTTTCCATTAAAATTTTAAATCTTTATTTTTGAGTTCTTTTAAGAAATAAAGATAATCGGGGACTTCACAATTAATTTTGCTCTAAATTAAACAAGTTGTTGCATTTTAAAAAAAAAAGTATTTTTTTATCAAAACTACAAAGGCTATATATAACCTTCGTATATTTCCAAAATTTGGTGAACTTTATTTTGATATTATTGGACTAGAAATAAGCACTTGATGTTTGCTTTTCCAAATGAAATTCGTTTTACAAAAACTTCTTATATTTAATCCTTGCTTTGTTGTGAAGAGTCTGAATATCTTAGATTTTACTATACTTCTCAAGAACATGAAAAAGAGGAATTTTCAATACATCTGTCACCCCTACCCCTATCACCTAAGGCATCCAATCAGCATGGGGAGCAGAAATGCACCCCTCACTACTTAGGTTTCTCAGTGTTATTATTTTCGGTTATTACAATTATCCAAGTAATTGAAATATTGCTATTATGAAGTCTCGTTATTATGTTTTCAATTAATTCCACTTTATTCGACTTCGAGCTGGCTTGGCCTAAAGATTGGGAGTGGGGGTTTGGTTTATGGTTGATTATTCATGATTCCCATTACCACCAAATATTCTCACCTTTTCAAATGCAGAAATATTTTATGTTTTTTTAGTTATGGCAAAGCTACTAAGGCTATATGCACTGGCTGTTGTCATTTGCAGCTTAAACACAGCCTAGTAGAGGAAGTTGTTTGATTTACTAATCTCTCAGCATATTCATGTATTTCTATAGTTTCTTTTCTTACATATATTATAAAATATAAATGTATTAATCATTTTAATGTATTCTTTCTAAACTTTCATATGTATCAACATGTTTTCAGTTAATGTTTATTATACTTAGAATGTTGTTAATTATACTTTAGGATTTTTAAAATGATAATGGAATTAGCAAAAAAATTTCCAATACTTTCTTAATTAAAAATAATTTTTGCATTGCCATATTTTTAAATTTTTTTATAGGTATTTTCAACTTCTTAATCATTTTAAACTATGCAAAGAGGTCATATAGTATTATCACAAATTTTCTTGCTAAACAGTAAACTTTGTACTATCTTAAATTTTCTAGTATTGGAATGAATGTGTTTTCACTGAATTATGTATATTATCTATCACACACTGTAGTAAGAATCTAAGAACAATTATTTTGAATAACAAATTAGTTTATTCACTTAATGCAATAAAATATATCCCAGTTTTTTATAAAAATGCTTTACTCTTTTCTTTGATGATAATGATTTTGAAGATAGCTTATTTGGTAGTAAAAAACTCAACTCCCAGTAACAATCCTGTGCTCTTTCTCAATTTTACTGACTGATTGGTCAATGGTCATGCAACATTTTTTTTATACATGCATAACATCCAATGAAACCTGAGAATGTAATGTTTTGTATTTTTTCTGATTTATAAGCAATGTCACCACATGATGTTTATTTTTATCAACACAAATTCAGTAGTTTTAGTAGTCTTGTGAAAATCTGTATACGGAGGAATGCAAGAAATGCAGATTGTTACAGGTTTATTATTACATTGTGTATATACTTTCATGCACAACAGTTTAGGATTCAAAAATTAACTTAATCAAGAACAGTACATGAAGATGTCCATTATATTAAATGAAGGGTAGTTTCAAACTTGAAAATGCCTTTAAAAACTCAAAATAAGTTGCATATAGGAAGCATTAATATAATTAATGATAATAACATTAATTTACTTCAAGATTATAAAAACAACTCAAATAATCTTGAACATAAATTGTTATTGGTATTAGAAAAAGATAATTTCATGGCATTGTGTTTATTTCAAAACTATATTAAATCTTACATTATAATCAACTTCTTCCATAACTACAGCACTCTGATGTTCTGAATTGATATGAAACCTGCAAAAAGAAAATACATTATAATGGGCTAGTTTAAGTACATCAAGAAAAAGAATAATTTTTTGACATACATTAGCTACCATGTTTCTAAATAGAGAATGTCATCAGATTTCATATTTAGTCATAAGTAGCATGTCCTGGGTTACCTTTGAGGAAATCATAAATCTTCCATAATTCCTTCTAAAACCCCAAGAAATTTATCCTTCTTAATTTCTGCCCTTCTAAAAACTCCTGCTTATAACTTTTAAGCAGGATATTTCAAGATGGGCAATTACAGCATGTATTAAAATAGTAAATAACTTCATTTGAAGAGATATTTAAGAAAAATTACATTGACCTTGTTTCTAGGGTGTGCCAAGGAAAAACTTCCTATGAGTAAGATCATCATCATTGACATTCTCAACAATTCCACTGAATTTTCTAGAGTAATAAAAACACTAATAAGTTTTAATTACCAAAGTACTAATACAAGTTGACAAAAATTGTTTTCAGTTTACCATTATATATATATTTATTTTTTATTTGCCACAGTGAAGAACAAATAAAATTAAAAATTCATAAATATTGATGTAATCTCATTCAAAGTGTCATTATGAATAATACATCCTTGTTTTTCAATTTGTGATTATTTTTTAGCAAATTTTAAGTGTCTTATAATGAAAGATCACCTAAAATAGTATCCTCTGCCATATCTACCTAAGTAATTTTTCATTTTATCATATAAATATATTATGAATACTGTTGGGCAATTAGTGGATTTGATAATTGATCATTAGGTTTGTTAATCACCTGCATTCAACTAATCAATTACATTCACACGAGACTTTGTTAAATAATCAGAAATGGTAATAATATGAAATAATTTCTAGTAGTTGATTATGTTTGTAAGTTGTGACAAATAAGTAAGCTGAACTATCTTGAATTCATGAAAAATAATACAAGATACCATAATTGAAATATTTCAATTACATGGATAGTTGGAATAATTAAGAATAGTAATAATCAGAAATACTAACTTTGATTAGTTGATTATTTTTGTGAAAATGATTTTACTGTAATTTTGATTAATAAATTATTTTCTGTGACAATATTCAACGTTCATAGGTAATAGATTAATCACCCAGCTCTAGTTATAAGCATGTGAGCTTCTAGCCCAATTATTTTGAAATATTTTTGAAATAATAATAATTTACTTTTAGTAAACAGTGGCAGATTTTTTTTAAGATTTAAATCACAGAATTTAAGATTTTGACACTGACATAAACCTTAATCTGAAAAACTGCTGACAGATTTTGGAAATAGAGTAGCTCTATAAAAAAATGACCTAGAAAGTCATCAGATCAATTCTACCCACTGCACATTCTAACCACCTTCTACAAAATGTATCATAACAATGAACTGTAATTCTATTTCAATGATAATATTTATTACCCCATTTTTCATAAAACCCCAATTAATCTGCAAGTTAACATTGAAAATAACACAAAATTACCAACAACTAGACCTGGGCAATTAGTGGAATTTGCTAATCAATTATATTCAAATTACCATTCTCAAATGAGACTAATCTTCCTATTTTTAACTTGTTTTGGATTTTTTTAAAGACATTTCAAACTACCCTTGACTCAATATGATAGAAATTTTCAGGTACAACATCTTAAATTTTTTTTAATACTAAACTATTGTCCACAAAAATGTATCATATATGTAACAGTACAAAACCTGTAATAAGCTGAAATTTTTTTTTTTTGGATTTCTACCTATAAATTTTCAGAAGACTAGTTAAAACTAATTCTTTGTTAAAAATAATTGTCCTAAAATTTCATGTGATAAAACTAGCAAAATTCTTTTCACAGTGTATGATAGATAAAATATAGTTCTATGAAAACAAATTCACATCAATCCTAGAAATTCGTATAAGGTAAAACATTTACTATTTGCCAAGAAAACTTGTGATGATACTAGACAACCTCCTTGTAAAGATTAAAATAAATCATAAAGTGAAAATTGCTATATCATAAGGCATATTAAAATCACAATAATATGAACAACTCTTTAATCATTGACACTTCCGAATTTTGTTTTCTAATTTTATAATCAGTGTCAAATATTTAAAAAATAATTCACTTTATATAAATATAAGCTTTAACCCTATTGCCATGGGTATCCTTTACGGCACATGACACAATATTTTAGTGTCTTACATTCAAAATGTTAAACTACTTTTTGTTTATGTTATACCAATTAGAACAGCATAAAATCTTAGCTAATAATTCATATTTTAACAGTATACAAGTTTTAAATTCTTAATTCTACAAGGCAATATTTAAAAAAAATCCTGAATTTTCCATAGTGTGTGACACACAACACATTTTCCCTCGAAAATGTACAAAATTAAACGTAAAATACTCTCTATAAAATCATTATTGTTCAAAGAAACCATAATTTTTAGTCTTCAATTTTGTTTGGTTACAGAGCTATCGATTATATAAAATCAGACCCCTCCTGCCACACCCACATATAACATCCTCTCTTTCACAATTCATTGATAGTTCTCTTAAGTTTCATTTCATATTACCTACAACCAACAGAAAGGTTTCCATAGTAATTGAATCCAAACTGTAGCCATAGTGTGATGCATTCCAAACCACCTGAATCACAATGAGAAAGCAAACAACACCGAAACAGACAAACCTTCTCCTCCACCCAAAACACAACACCACAGGCTCAGAATGATTGGATTGTGTATGTCTTACTCAACCAAAGGAACAGAACCCAGTCTGGAATTATGAACTTTCATCCTTACTCTCCAAACAAGTGGGCAAAGAGCATTCCACTTGCCCCTGGAATTATGGAGAGGACATAGAGCAACTGTGTTCAACCAAGGACACAGGACGCAACCACTCTGCATTCAAAATTACAAGGAGATAGATAGTGGACCTTCTTCCAAGAACAATGTACTGAATCTATACTGATCAAGCAGAAGGGCCACGCACACCCCAACTGGATAGCAGAGTATAAAATCTGAACAAGTATTACGAGTAGGCTCCCACGTAGGCTGGTGCCACTCCTACCAACATCTGGATAAAACATTCAGTTACCCAGGTAGGAGGGCCCCTAACTTGCCCTCTTTTCCAAGAGTGAAGGAATTCACTCTAACACTCTGGAGGAAAACCTCTGTCCATCATCCAGTGACGGGAAACCGGGTGTGGTAAAGACTCCCTAGCTCCACTAGTAGAATCGAGGGAGTAATGTGCAGTGGGGAGTCCTGAGGAACAGTGCTCTGAACCAACTTCCCTAAATTTTTAAAAGCAACCTGACCTTGATTTGTTCAATCCGATGATTGGCAGGGATGGACAGGATCCCCTTATGCTTTACTCATGATAATCCTAGAGTGGCAGTCCAGTATAGTACAGCATAGTATAAAGTAATACCATCTGGGCACCCTGGACCAAGTGCCTCCTCGATGAGAAACACAAGACACCACTGTGATCAGATTGAAGCCTGATACTTTTTCCCATAATAAGCCAAGACCATTAGGCATTGCTTTTGGAAGAGCAAGTAGGACTGAAACAATGTGTATAGAAGCCTTGTCATCCATGTGTAAATCCTGAAATTCCCAACTGTTGGTACAGCATTTCTGAAGCAAGGCATTCATGAAGAGATGGAACTTTGGATGATGGGTCTGTATAGGAACCCATATCTTAATAGCATCCTGACTTAACAAACCCTCAAGATACAAGAATGATTCTGATAGAGAAAACTGGGGAAGCTAGTGTATCGATGTTTATGATCCCTTGGGTGCATAAAGACCATGAAAAGGATCACTAGTGTACTCGTCCCAAAGGCATGAGGGATTCGAGTGAGCTCACATTCCCAGAAGAGAAAGAACCATCTGTGCAGTGGGAGAAGGAGAGGTGAATAAAAGCCTGGTTTCCTGTTCCATATCACAGAGCCAGATGCAAGTCCGACTGAGAGATGAGATGAAAAATAAAATATCCAGACTGATGACATTGAATTGGAGCAAAAATAGATGTCTCAGCTCTGAGAATGATGCCAGCCTCGGTGGTTTCTGAAAGTAGAATCAGGGTGTGCTGTTCTAAAACAATAGATGAAATGGTACCAGTCATCTATGGAATGAGGTGTGCACAGAGCTATGGAATGGAGGTGACAAGAAAAACCTATATTAATTGGCAGAACCCATGTGAAGCCTACGCTAGTATGGAGGAAAAAACCCTGAACTGCAGTATCTGACACTTGTGCACAAAAATCTCCAATGGTGGTGGGATGATTTTACTTAGATAGATGCAACTTTTTTTATATCTCCTTGCAGAAAGGACAAAATCATGGAAAAATTATCTAGATGTCCATTATGCTTTTGTAGCCAATAAAAGTAAGGTGAAACCATTCTTTACACTAACTAAACTGTGCAAAGAGTTTATCAGGGTTGTTTTTCTGTATGCATAAACAGTAAAATTCATCATATCCATCAGCCCCCCTAATCCCACAGGATTCAACAGCTTCTTGGCCTTCCCCTGCCATATTTTCCAGAGGTGAGAATCTATGGCTATAAGATCCATCATAATATCCATCAGCACCCCTAATTCCACAAAATTCAACAGCTTCTTGGCCTTCACCTGCCATATTTTCCAGAGGTGAAAATCTATGGCTATAAGATCCATCATAATATCCATCAGCACCCCTAATTCCACAAAATTCAACAGCTTCTTGGCCTTCACCTACCATATTTTCCAGAGGTGAGAATCTATGGCTATAAGCTACAGTTCTTGAATACATTTTTCAATGGTCTTCACGTGAAATCTGATAAAGCCATTTTCTAATAGAATATTTACTCTTATGAAGTAGATGTGATTTTAATCCATAATGGACTTTCCGTACAACAGCTTCTCTTCCATACCACTGTTTTTAACTTTCACTTTAGACTGGAAGCCCTGTGGCTCTTAAATATTAACTATCAATTAAATTAGTATATTTATTGCAACAGTACTTCTTTACATACAGGAGTTATGGAATAATACAAAAGAATTATAATCACAGATACTGAAATCTACAAGTCCACTTGTCTTAGGCCTACCATTAGTTACGCCTTTATTAAGTATGGTCTATATTCAATAGTGATAAATTAACGTTGAAATTTGTGTTTGTTTTTGCTTTTAGTCAAGGCTAAACTTTACCATACTTAAAACTCTTATTAAATAAACTTGTAATGTTATTGTACAAAGTCTACTAATGTATATTTACATCTGCCTTTTGTTTATATCCACTAAAATGAAGTGCACACACATGCCCAATTTATATAGTAAGGTGTGTGCAGATGTTCAGTACATACAAAAACCGAGTATTATTGTAATACATTTTAGCAAAGTTGAAAGTTTCCTTAAGCAAAATTCTGTTTTAACAGTAACTTATTTTTAGGAAGTAACCCAAGTGAGTAAACATCATATTGTGTTATTTTAAGTTTAACATTCACTTGAAGAGCAATAAATAAAATTTAAACAGTTAGATTTAGCATCAAGGTAATGCTTCAACTTTTGGTTTCAACTTGTTTTGAAGTTAATGAAATTTCAGTAGATTTACTGTTCATTTACTCATTGATCACTTTCCTTCAAGCTCTATTTGTATTGTGGCATTAAATATTTGTATTCTGTAAATCTGTCTTATCTCCTTGTTTGTAACTTCTATATTGAAACTAGTTAGGAAACATTCACCAAAGTTCAAGATCAGAGAAACTCCAGTTATTAATGAACCTAATTTTTCTGCTTTGCTGATTATCTTCAAGATACCAAACTATGCTACTGACAAGAAAAATTACATAGGGACTATGACTAAAGATTAGTTTAAAATCAAACTAATCAAAATCAGATTAGTTACATTTGCTAAATAATCTGATGTTTACTACATCACATTTTCAAACCATCAACAAACAAAAATAATCTTACTCAGCACATACTAAATATTCTTATATTATCATGGAACTTCAAACATTCAACAAGTTGTACTGGTGGCTATAAGCCTACTCTCAACTTATCATATAAACTTTTGGACTTCTTTCCTCTTTAAGGTTATATCATCAGAGGTCTGTTGATTCGTTGGAAATACAAGTTAATCCAAAATTTATAATTTCTAAATTGCTGTATTTCATTGAACCCTTATAGGCTGAAATAATATTGATATAATATACAATAAGAAGAATGTGCTTTTATTCAACATTTTCCAGCAGTAAAAAAAAATATAAATGAATAAAGAAATCCTACAGTGCAGCCTAGCCTTCTCTCTTACTTTTAGACATCATTATTTGCATAATAAGATACAGTTAAGTAAAAAAAAACTAAAATGCAATATTGTTAATTCATTAAAATGAAAACAACTTGCTGTTAAAGTGTCTGTGACATACACACATGGGTGAGTATCTACTTGAAAGTAACACTACAGGTGATTTAAACTATTTAATACAAAACCAATTACATAACTTGTGACAAGAGTACATATAAGAACAACTGGTACATGTAAAATATTTTCCAGCTGTGTTTTGGTGATGAAATCCACATTTGAACGGGCAATAAAAAACTGGAGAGTGTCCAACATGATTTAACCCCTTTTAGTGCAAGGCTAATTATGCCAATTTTATAAGTAAGTTAGTGTACGAGCCACAGTTGCTAGCTTTTTTGACAAGGTTTACTGATATTTTTAAGAGCAAAAACTTGTATATTTTTCTGTATGGAGTGACACTAACAGCCCTGAAACAATTCAAATTACAACACACATTTACATTTGTTTAATAATCCAATGTTTACTACATCATGTTTTAATACCATTGACAAACAAAACATTTTAAAAACTTATAAGTTAAGAAGAAATAATAATAAATAAAATAAACTCACCTAAGTTGTCTTGAACCAATTAAAAAAAATGTAGTTTCATTTTCTTTTCAACAGCTGGGTAAGTTTTGAAATCTCAATTCCTGTAGCAGCCCAATGACAACCTGAGTTAAGAAAACATAGCATTAGCAGAGAGGAAACACTGTACTGTGTGATTTGTCTTTCTCACTTAATCCTCCAAGTAAAATTAAAGAGCTGTATGTAATGACACTGAATTAAAGAGAATATAGGGCAATTTAATACTTTCACCATTTCTGATTAGGACAAAAAAAAGGCTAAAAACTGGAATGTCCGTTAACCCTAGTTTTGACCTCCAAATCCCTGGTAAACCAGGCAAAATACACATGGTATTTGCAGAAAGGTTGCCCCCTCTTCAGATATTCACTGAGAAAAAAAAAGTGGCCCAACATGATTTTACTACTTAAAAGTTAAATACAAAGCTACTTATTCAAGTTTGATAAAGAAAAAGGTATGTGTGCCATTGTTTCCCAGATTTAACTACCAAATCTCATTGAGCCAGGCTAAACACACGACATTTCATTTGAATATTCATGATGAAATAAATGGCCCAAAATGTTTCTTAAATGCAAGACAAATAAATTGACATAAGAACTTAAACTTAAAGACTGAATAAGAACCTGGGCAAAAAAGACATCAACTTAGTCTTAAACTTCGTATTGCAACTTACAAGACCCTAACAATACCGATTTGTGAACACCACTCAACATGGCACTGTGTACTACTAGTATTACTACAGGGCTAATGCTTCTACTTTAAGTTTTACTCCTGATAAATAACAAAAGTTCAAATCTTGATTCAATTCTACACAGCTTAAGTGTTTGAAACACTGCAAACTTCAAACAGGAATCATCATAAGTTCTGGTATTTAGTGGTAAAATGCTACTAGTATTAGTAACCACTTTTAATCTTACTCTTAAGCTCTACGACAAACTAGAACTTGGTTTCAAGCTCACTATTCCGTACTGCCGTAGCCTACTACTCGTTGTATCACTATTAATACCAATAGTAATAGTTAAGCCTAAAAATAAAATTAAAAATATTAAATAGATCTTAAGAAGCACTTTAATTTAAATTATGAAATCCTTTGTGCCTAGTATTAACTCGCTTCGACGATCTCAAATTACTATTATTAACACTAATATTACTATTAGTATATTCACGACCAGTGAGTTTTATTTTACTTCAGTTTTCATCGTTCATACTGTTAAAGTTGTAACTACCATTTACTTTACACTTATAGTTAACTAGTCTTTAGTGTTTTGCTAATTTAGTACCAGCCTATTATTTTTGCTTTGGTAAAATTCGCCTAAAAAAAAAATTAATGTATAATATATAAATCGTACAAAACGTTTTTCCTTTCTGAACCAAGCCAATATCAAGATCCAGTAAATACACTTAAAAGAAAACATCTACCGTTAAACAAAACCTTACCAATTTCACTTCACTTCTTCCTTCCTTCGAAATTTATCAAATTTCAATAGTTCGCTGAACGCGCGCAAAAATAAAATAATTGCAAAAATACCCGCTAGGATACTTAAGTTTGATTGGACTAAGGACAAGGCATAATCTTTTTTGTTTTCCTAATTTTATCTCAAATATGTGCATTAGAGGCCCGATATCCTGAATGTTTGGAAAGGTAAATCTTTGTTCTGGAAGCGTTCAGATTATCATTTTTTTATTTTTGTGATTCCTTATCTAATATTTCATCTTAACGTGATTTCTTACAATAATGATGGTAGTCTACAGAAATATGTATTTGTGAGAGGCGGTCCCGCTGACCGGAGGGGGGAAAAGGGGCCAACTGCCTAGGGGCCCAGGCGAATGAAAACTGGTTATGCCGAAATGCCCGCAAAGCATATTTAGGCTATATCTTCATTTAATCATAAAAAACATAGTTTGGCTTTACTTTGCATATGTAGACGCTTGATATATTACGAATGATTGAAATTATAACTTGGGTAATAATCAATATATATATTTGTTACTTTATAGATACTTTATAGATTCAAAAAAGAGAGGCCCGGCATGGCCAGGTGGTTAAGGCGCTCAACTCGCAATCTACGGGTCGCGGGTTCGAACCCAGTCCCACCAAACATGCTCGCCCCTTCAGCCATGGGGGCGTTATAATGTAACGGTCAATCCCACTATTCGTTGGTAAAAAGAGTAGCACAAGAGTTGGCGGTGGGTGGTGATGACACTCCTGGTGAGGGATAAACGTATTTTCCGGTAAAATTTGGTAACTGTTTTTAAGCTAATTAGGATGTGCTGAACTAAATTTTAATATTCAGCAAAGGCCCAGAATGGAGAGGCAAAATATGACAGTCTTTTTACTTCCATAAATTTAAGGATTCGGTTTACAAAGTAAATATATTTGTATATTTGCATGTCTTCTTTCATAAAACCTGGCAAATATGTTGTTTGTTATAAATTTGTTTCATTTTTAGGTATTTGAAACATGAATTTAATGTTTTTTTATCTTAAACTAGTAAATTTCTACATAGTGAATTATTATATGTTTAACATTTCTAATGGTGGTTGGTGAAAAATTGGAAAACATCATTGTTAATTTAATTAGTTTTATTGTTGTTGCTGCCGTTAAGCCCAAAGTTACACAATAGGCTCAATACTTCCTTCAATACTACTGAGTTTCAATCTTAGACGTATTTAGGAAAATATCTAATAAAATATTTATACAAAGCAAATAATGAAGTAAACTAAAATTGTAAAACACTTAGCATGTTAGGCTTAATTATATAAAGGGGTGTGGTTGAGTCCTATGGTATTGCTCTAAATTTCGGATCTGGTGAACCAGGCTCGAATCTGTGTGATACTACAAAATATTCCCTTGGGTGATGGTTTGTAGGGTGCTACCGACTGGTTGCCTTCCCTCTGATCAATAGTTATTTATTTATTCAGACAACCAATTTTGTTCTCATATTTCTGGCATCCACATGCTCCAGTACAAAAAATGTGATATTTCTTGTATTTTTAGAGCAGTGTTCCAGAACTTTTGTACACTGACAGATTATAACGTACAAACAGCTAACTATAAAAATGGGCTTTCTGCGGTATGTTTATTTAATTTGTATTTCTACTTCATAGTGCTAACTACATATGAGATTAATAGCAGCATCTCAGTGTTGCACAAATATATTTTGGAAGAGACTAGATCTAGAAAACATCATAGAAGTTAAAGGCCGAAATCTGTGAGCAGGGTCAGATAAAGGGATCAATTGCACCCTGAGAGTCCCGATTAAGATAAAAATAAATAAATAAATAATCAAATTCTGGATGTCTTATTGAATAACATATCTTTGCAACTGTGTCTCTATAACAATAGCGATTTTAGTCGTTTCATATGGACCTAATATTTTGTCAGTTTTCATTAAGATGTTCTTACCACTTGTTTTTTCATAAATAAAAAAAATCATTTTTAGTACTTTATATTTATTATAAATACTAGAATTATTACTATTTTGTGGAGTGTCTAGCAATCGTTTGTGTTTGTATATTGCTTAAATTGTAATTCAGAAACTATAATGTATTTATAATTTATGAAGTTAAGCTCTGAGGGCCCCTCCTACAATATATATACCCCCCCACACACACAAGTTTTAATCTATCTCTGCCTGTGAGGCCAAATTTATTACACATATTTTTTGTAATTTTTAGCTAAAGTAGTCTTTTGGACATTACCAAAGAAATAATTAATTTACATTAAAACTAAGTGGCCTGGAATGTTTTGTTTGTTTTTACCGATTAATCGGAAATAACCTGCAAACGAAAGAAGCCCGTCGTAACAGAATCAATGGGCTATAGCCTATTAACGAATAAAAATTTATTTTTAAAGCGTTTTAATTTAGAACAATATCTATTGTTCTTGTTGTTTTACGGCAAGATTATCAAATATGCTATCTGCACTCTGACCACGGCGAGGAATCGAACCAAGGATTTTAGCGTTGTAAGTCAGTAAACTTACAGCTGATCCATCGGCAGATTATAGTATTAACATGCTTAATTAAAGATATTAATATGTTTTAGGTAATGAATTTATGAAAATTAATTTTCTAACATGCTTTTTATTTTTGTTGTTAAGCGCAAAGCTACACAATGGACTACGTGTTATTTGCTATCGAGGGTATCAAAACCAGATCTTTCGCATTATAAGCTTTCAGACTTACCTTTGAGCCACCAGGAGGCTTTGTCATGTTTAGGGATATTTGGTAATTTAATGGTAGCCGTAAGGGTATTAAATCAACATTTAACGTGTAGACTGTAGAATATATATATATATATATGTCTTGTAAATTTCAGATACTAACTTTAAATGAAAATTAGAAGCCTTTAGAGAAAAAGAAAATTTGTTAAGTTATCCTAAATTTTGTTTGTTTGTTTTTTGAATTTCGCGCAAAGCTACACGAGGGCCATCTGCACTAGCCGTCCCTAATTTAGCAGTGTAAGACTAGAGGGAAGGCAGCTAGTCATCACCACCCACCGCAAACTCTTGGGCTACTGTTTTACCAACGAATAGTCGGATTGACTGAAACGTTATAACGCCCCCACGGCTGAAAGGGCGAGTATGTTTGG